AAACTTCTGCCTACACGGCCAGGCAAGCAATATGGGTACTGGTTCCAGTCCTGGCTGCTCCGCTTCTGATCCAGCTGTCTACTCACATGCCTGGGAAAGCAGGGGAAATTGTCCAGGTGGTTATATCCTTGCACCCACATGGGAGGCCCATAAGAAGCTCCTGGCTTCAGAATGGCCCAGCCCTGGCCATCGTGGCTCCCTGGTACAAGATTGCCCTCTGCCATCCCTCCTTCTCTCTTTGTAACTGTGATTTTCAAGCAAGTAAGTATATAAATCTTTTTCAAAGGAGTTATGTATTTAAAAAGCAGAAGGCGCAAGAATGGGAATGTCTCAGCTGCTGGTTCACTCTTTCAGTGCCGCAGGGTTGGGCAGGGATGCCACCGAAGACCCCCAAGCGGACGGCTGGGACCGAGGAGTTTGGTTCATTTGCTGCCTCCCCCAGTGCCTTGGCGGGAAGCAGGGTTGGCAGTGTGGAGTAGCCTGGATGTTATGGGAGGGTATCTGAAGCAGTGGTTGCACACACTCGGGCACGACCTCTGCCCCACTAGCAGCTGTTGTTGTTAGATCATTGAGGGAAGGTTGACAGACTTTTCACAAGGTTATCACAGCTTACCTTCTCTGTGTGAGTGCCAGGACCCATCACCTGTGAGGTGATGGCTGGTGCCTCCCTGGGTACACCTGAACAGGAAGCTGGAGCAAGTGGAGTAGCCGGGATTTGAAGGAACCCAGGGCTTCAGGCATAGGAGGTGGGTGTCCTCCCCTCTGAGACCCTCTTTTCATAGCACTCAAAGCCAGTGCTGCCAACCCTGTGATGCCCTGCCCTTGTGCCCTTTCCTGAGGGGCTGCTGGAATGCTCAGGACAGATCTGCTATACCATCAGTCCTTCCCAGACTGCCCCACAGCACACAGCCTTCTTTGCAGGGTAGTGCGTGGGTCTGCTCTGCTCTGCTGGGAAAGCCCCCTGGTGAGTCGCTGGGCCTGCATCCCAGCTCAGCTTCCCCTCGGCATGGTCCTGCTTCCTGCTACAGTCCCCAGGTGCCAATTCCCAAGGCAGGCTTCGTAGTCATCTCATCTCAGAGTCTGCACACTCCGAGAACTCTCTCTCTCTCTCTTTTTTTTTGTCAGACCCAAGGCTGACATTTCGTTGTAGGTTCATTCTTGTATCCTGAGGCCCTAATGTGGGTACAGTGAGGATTAGGTCTTCCTTGTTTATGGGCAGTACTGATAACAGTGATAAAGGGGACACTGACTATCTCAGGTGATGAGCAAATGTTTCCTCTTAAAACAAACGACAACAATACAGACAAAAGCAATCTTTTTTGGCAGAGCACAGTTCGAGAGACCTGGAGGTCTGTCAACAGATTTCACTTGAAGACCTCGTCCTTCTCTGGCGTGGTTGAAGCTCATGGAGCGAGCTTTTGGTGACCTTCATCTCGGGCACCCTGGGGCTCTGCCCGGGAAGAAGACACGGACTGTCACTCTCTTGCTTTCCTTGGTAGCTTTGCCACAGACACAGCCTGCTTGTTTCTAGCTGGGTGTGCTGGCGGTGCTGCTCGGCTAGGGCTACTGTAACAGCATGCTGCCACTGGGGTGCCTGGCACAGGTACTAAGTGTCTCATGGTTCTGTGGGTTGGAAGCCCCGGATCGGGGTGCCAGCTGAGCTGGAGGTTCCCTCTAAGGGCGGTGAGGGAGAGCCATGCTCCATGCCTCTCCCTGGCTTGTGGAGAGCCATGTGGTCACAAGAGAGTTCTCGGGGCCCGGCGGCATGGCCTAGCAGCTAAAGTCCTTACCTTGAACACACCGGGATCCCATATGGGCTCTGTTCTAATCCCGGAAGCTGCACTTCCCATCCAGCTCCCTGCTTGTGGCCTGGGAAAGCAGTTGAGGACTGCCCAAAGCCTTGGGACCCTGCACCTGTGTGGGATACCCGGAAGAAGTTCCTGGCTCCTGGCTTCGGACCGGCATAGCATCAGCCGTGTTCACTTGGGGAATGAATCATTGGACGGAAGATCTTCCTCTCTATCTCTCCTCCTTTCTGCATATCTGACTTTCCAATAAATAAATAAATGTTTTTTAAAAAGTCAGCCTCTTATATGCCTGGGAGACACTCCAGTGGAAGCCTGATGGACTTGGGAACATTCAAGATGGATGCATTTTATGAACCTAGAGGGAAGAACAGAGTGGAGGTGAGGGAATTAGGGGGAGAGGGGAGCCCTCTGCCAACTGAACTGTCTCAAAAAGCAATTAAAAAAGAAAGGAAGGAAGGAAGGAAGGAAGGAAGGAAGGAAGGAAGAAAGAAAGAAAGATTGATTGATTGATTTGCTGGTGTGGCCAAATGGTGCATGAGCCTTGTATCTCTGGTCCCTCTGTGGTGCAGGTCCCTGGCAATGCATTCCTTCTCTGGTTGTCATGGTGGTCCCTGAGGGCGACAGGTGATGAGATTGGAGCAAGCCAGCTTCTGCAAAAGAAGTTGAAATAAGGAACAAGGCCACCTGATTTTTAGGACGTGAGCCAGGTGGGAGCCACCAGCCCAGCCCTGAAGTGTCATTTTGTCAGTCTTGCATACAGTGCATCAATGATTTGTGTGTGTGTGTGTGATTTTATTTTATTATAAAAATTTATTATTTATTTATTCTTATTGGAAAGTCAGATCTAGAGAGAGAAGGAGAGACAGAGAGAAAGAGCTTCCATGTGATGATTCACTCTCCAAGCAGCCGCAACGTCTGGTGCTGCACCAATCTAAAGCCAAGAGCCAGGAGCCTCCTCCAGGTCTCCCACACCGGTGCAGGGTCCCAAGGCTTTGGGCCATCCTCGACTGTTTTCCCAGGCCACAAGCAGGGAGCTGGATGGGAATTGGGGCCACCGGGATTAGAACCAGTGACACTATGGAATCGTGATGTCTGCAAGGCAAGGACTTTTAGCCACTAGGCTACCGTGCCAGGCACGTTTTTGTGATTTTATTCTTGGCTACTGTTGATTCATGGGCATTGGGTTTGTAACTGTGTTTTAACATTTTTAGGATGTGATTTATATCTCTGTGTTGCTTTAAAGCCTGTCATGATTTTTAAAAAAAGAAACAGATTTATTTTTATTCGAAAGGGAGATTTATGGAGAGAAATACAGAGTGACCTTGCATTTGCTGATTTATTACCCAAATGGCTGCTATGACCAGAACTGTGACAATCAGAAGCTGAGATCCAGGAGTTTCTTCTTGGTCTCCAACATGGGTGGAGTGGCTTGAGGATTAGAGCCATCTTCTACTGCTTTCCCAGGCCACAGGCAGGGAGCTAGATGGGAAGTAGAGCTGCTGGGATTAAAACCGGCGCCCATGTGGGATCCCGGTGTGTTCAGGGAAAGGATTTTAGCCACTAGGCCACGCCGCCGGGCCCTAACTCATGATTTTTTAAGAATATATAATGTGGGCCCGGCGCGGTGGTGCAGTGGTTAAGGTCCTCGCCTTGCACACCCAGGATCCCATATGGGCACCAGTTCTAATCCCGGCAGCTCCACTTCCCATCCAGCTCCCTGCCTGTGGCCCGGGAAAGCAGTCGAGGACCGTCCAAAGCCTTGGGACCCTGCACCCTATGGGAGACCTGGAAGAGGCTCCTGGCTTCGGACCGGCATAGCATCGGCCGTTGCACTCACTTGTGGAGTGAATCATCGGACGGAAGATCTTCCTCTCTGTCTCTCCTCTCTGTATATCCGCCTTTCCAATAAAAATAAAGAAATCTTAAAAAAAAAAAAGAAAGGAATATAAAATGCTTTCTTGGGCCTGGCGCAGTAGCCTAGCATCTGGGGTTCTTGGCTTGTGTGCACCAGTGTCCCATATGGGTGCCACTTCCCATCCAGCTCCTTGCCTGTGGCCTGGGAGAGCAATCGAGGACGGCCCAAAGCCTTGGGACCCTGTACCCACATGGGAGACCCAAAAGAGGCTCCTGGCTTTGGATTGCCTAGCTCTGGTCACAGCCACCTGGAAGTGAATCATCGAATGGAAGGTCTTCCCCTCTGTCTCTCCTTCTTTCTGTCTATCTGACTTTCAATAAAAATTAAATAAATCTTTTAAAATATTAATAAAAATAAAATGCTCCCCTGAATTACAGGTGCATGTGCCAGTTTCACACTGCTGGGCGGGGAGGGAAGGGCAAAAAGAGGATTCTGTGCCCTTTACAGGAACCACAGTCCAGGCATGAATCGTTCTTTGATGAATTGCATTTCTGCTCCTCCAGGGCTGCTTTTCTCAGCCACTGGAATGCGAGAGGGATGAATTCCTGCTTTAAGTTTTAGGGCCCCAGGAAACGTGTCACTCAGGCGCTCAGGGATGAATCAGCTGAGATGAATCACGAATGTGGTTCTGGGAAGGGATTTGCAGGTTTCTTTCATGCCGACCTTGACTGCAGTGGGGAGCCATGTGCCTGACCTCCTTCTCCAGCTGGAGGAAAGCAGGATTGGGGTTCACCTTGAAACAGTGGAACGAGGCCCGGTGTTTCAGGGGAGGCTCTGGACGAGAGGTGTTTAAGGAATCCAGCCTCTTTGGACCGCAGCTAAGGTTAGCTGTTTTCTTGTTCAGCTTAACATGAAGAGTGTGTTTTGCTCTTTGTGTAGTCACTGGCTTGGTGCCCAGTGTTGCCGCGGAGCCTGGCAGCCCTGGCCAGCTCACCTTTGGGGGCAGTGGTTCAAGTCCCTAAAGCTACAGTCCGGGCCCTTGTGTCATGTGCCGCCCTGGTGAGGGTGGGCCTTCCCTGCTGCTCCGAAAACGAGCCCCTCCTTCCGCAGCTAATACCTCCTGCGCACAAGTAATCCTTTAGGGCTGGGCAGCTTCAAAAAGCAATTAACACAAAAGGAGGAGGAAAGCCATGCTGTCTTTCAACCTGGCAACAAAAGGGGCCCTGCAACTCGCATTACGAGTCTGAATCTTGGGAGGAAGGGCTGCTGGAGGGGAGCCACTGCTCAGTGGACATTTTAAAACCATTTTTCCTAGCAGCCATGTGTCTCTTTTTCAGCTCAAGGCTGAGGACACAGCTGACCCTCTTCTCAGAAAACAGGTGGGGTCGAGCTGGATTTGGTGACTTACTGGAAGCACTGTGACCGTTGATGGCCAAGCTGGGCAGACGCCAGAAGGCGCACCCCGGAGTGCTGGGCAGCTGACTTGTCCTTGCACGCCTGCCAACTGTTCGCACAGAAATCATCTGAGAGGGCCGCACCTAGAGACCCTGTGAGACTTCAGTGTCTTTGTCAGTCTGTGCAGACTCATTTTGTCGCACACACCCGCCCACAGGGAACTGCCTTGAGGCAGCGCCACCACAGCCGGACAAATGGTGCCATCCTCCTCCTGGCCCCTTGAAACAGCACATTTACATTCGAGCTTTGGGCAGGTGCCTCACCCTCCCCTCCCTGTCCCCACCTCCCTGGGGAAATGCCCAGATCAAACCAATGCAACCAATTTATGCTGTGTCATCTCGCTGTGGGGGTGGAAGGACAGAAATCGGCGGAGAAGGGGTGAGTTTGAGGAAAGCTAGGAATCTACAAGCAGATTAATGCGCTTATCTTGACCGAATCATAGAATCACTTGGGAAAGCTTTTGATGATTCCCCTGTCCCTTATTGGTCTTTGTAGACCGGAAGAGGGGAGTGATGTGTCTGAAGAGGCAGCGCTGTATACAGGGTCGTTAATCCTCCCACCTGCCCAGCACCTCTGTTCTCTTCCCCCATCCCTTTGAGCAAGATAAGATGAAGAGAGCTGCAAAGCAGGTGGGGCTGACTCAGTGCCGCTTCCTTCTGGCCTCCACATCTCGTGTTTTGAAGTAACTCTGCTTTTGAAAAGAATGTCTCATCCGGAAAATGTGGTATTCCATGTAACAGAAGAGAAGTAGTCGCTGCTGTCTTTCACGGGGGTGCAGATCTCGGCCCCGCCCCCCAAGGTACCTGCTTGTGACACCTGTGTCCTCTATCACAGACTTTCCTGGGGTGCAGTCCAGGGACCCCACAGCTCAAAGCTGTGACCTTGTGGTTTGTAGGGGGGAGGGGCATGCACAATAACTGGTGTAACATAAAATCTAATAGCAATGTGTATGTGTAAGCTTGGTGCCGGCTCTTTAATTACCATCTCCCTACCTTTATCATTGTCTTCCCCTACTAGACATACTGTCGCCACAGGTACCAGCGGGCCGGGTAATTCATGTTTGCTGCTTTAAGGTCCATGCACTCACAAACAGAACCACGCCCACAGAATTCTGCTGCGTGGGTTGCTAGAGGATTACTAGCACCTGGTGCCCAGAACACTCAGGTCCCCTCAGTTTTGTCTCATCCTGTAGCGACTGCATGAGACAAGAGAACCATCTTGACTGCTTCCCCAAGCCCCGATGAGAACGTGGGGCAATAGAGCCGCTATTGACAGCTTGGGAAGTGAACTTACTCTAGTGATTGTGATCAGGGGGCATGTGACTGGCAGAACAATTATGTTGCCCCTTGGGACACCCACATTAAGCATCAGAAGGCCTGGTTTGAGTTTTGGCTACTCTGCTATATAGCCAGCTGCCTGCTACCACATGCTCTCCATGGCTCAAGTACTTGGATCTTACCACCCAAGTAGAAATACGAAGTTGGAGTTCTAGGCTCCTAGCCTGAGCCTGACCCAGCTGTGGCTGTTGTAGGGTGTTTGCGAGGGGTAAGTAGCTGAAAGGACAGCTCTGGCTCTCTCCCTGCATTTTTGTTTTGTTTTTTTAAGATTTTTATTTCATTATTATTGGAAAGGCAGAGGTACAGAGAGGAAGAGAGACAGAGAGAAAGTTCTTTCGTCTGATGGTTCACTCCCCAAGTGGCCACAGAGGGTGGAGCTGAGCCAGTCCAAAGCCAGGAGGCCAGATCCTCTTCCGGATCTCCCACGTGGGTGCAGGGTTCCAAGGCATTAGGCCATCCTCGACTGCTTTCCCAGGCCACAGGCAGGGAGCTGGATGGGAAGCAGATCTTCGGAACATGAGCCAGCATCCACATGGGATCTTGGCATGTGCAAGGCAAGGACTTTGGCCACTAAGCTGCTGCGCCGGGCCCAAATAAATAAAGAACTTTAAGGCTGCAGTGCATTGCTTGGGTGCACATGGGGAACTTGACAGATCATTGAGACCTGCGGAAGATCTAATGCCATGGAAGGCAGATCAAATTGGACAAATCTCTGTCCGGAGAACAAAGCTTTCCAAGCTTCGAGAGCAGGTATCTGGGTGAGTTCAGACTCTGGGGTGGATATGTCAGCCAGTGGCCCTTGGAAGGATTTCCTCCAAATCAACAGCATCTCAGAACCATCAAAATCACTTAAGCGGTACCCTCAGACTGGACAGAGGTTAGGTTGTCACATCCCACGTCTGAGTGCCGGGTTTGAATCCGGCTTCTCTGCTTCCTGCTAATGCGTAGCCTACTGGGCAGCAGAATGGCTCAAACTCGTGGGGCTCTGCCACCCCTGGCGGAGACCCCGAGTGGGTGCTGGGGTTCGAGCCTAGAGCTGGCCCAGGCCTGGCTGTCACCGGCATTCGTGGAGTGAAGCAGGGGATGGGAACTCTCCCCCCGCCTTTTAAATCAAGTGAAGTAAGGAAGAACACCAAGCGTTAGATCTTCAGTTCTGCTTCCAGATCTGGCAACCTGGAAGGTGAATCTCTTGAACACTGTGTTTTGCCCAGGGTCACGCCTGTGGTTTTGATCAGATCCCTCCCTCTGTGTGGTCGGGAATGATATCAAACGAGGGGATTTTGCGATGATGCCTGAATATAGCCATGGCTGGTGGCGATGTGCCCAGGCCGACTTAACTCTCTGTGAATCAGAGTAACAACTTAAAAACACTTTGCTTTCTATGGCTCTTCCCACTTCACGGAAGCTAAAAATAACAGCAAAGAAACAAGCCGTGTGAGTCAGTGGCATGCACGTGAACAGTGCCGTGTGTGTGTGTGTGTGTGTGTGTGTGTGTGTGTGTGTGTGTGTGTGTGTGTGTCTCGCACGCGGTGGAGGGAGGGAGAGGGGAAGAGAAGAATGGGAAGACGGAATGCTTGACGTTGTCCCGCCTCCTTCCCCATGAACAGCTGGTCGGATTCCTAACTCGTGAGACTGCCTGGGCTTTGTATAATAACAGAGCATGGCTTCTGCAGCGCCTCCAATAGGGTGGGAAGAGACACGAAACCTTCGCCAGGAGGGTCTTGAGTTCCCTGGATTTTACATCCGCAGAAAATGCAGGCATCTCGACCCTTCTTGAGCATTGCCAATCCGCTGTCCCTACGCCTTCTGTCTTCCTGTAGCTGCCCACTACTTTTTTTTTTTTTTCCTTAAGTGGGGCAGAGATATAAATTGCAAACTTAGTTTCCACTCAAAATAGAGGAAGCTCTCAGGAGCAAGTGGGTTAACACTCACTGTTACCAAATACACAGTTCCGAATTAACAGAAAGACTTATTACTCCTTTTACTTACGAAGTCCATTTTCCATGTGTACTTGAGGCTGTCTTGCATACCTCCTCATCATTAGGCAGCAAAAAGTTTTAGGGGCCTGCTTTGTGGTGCAGTGGGTTGAGCTGCCACTTGCACCGCCAGTGTATAGACACGGGTTCAATGTCCAGCTGATCTGTTTCCGATCCAGATTCCTGTCTCTGTGCCTGGAAAAGCAGCAGAAGCTGGCCCAAGTGCTTGGGCCCCTGTCACCACTGGGAGACCTCAGATGGAGTTCCAGACTGCTGGCTTAAGCCACTTTAGTCCCAACTCTTGTGGCCGTTGGGTCATGAACCCATGCACGGGAAAATCCCTCTATCTCTTTCTCATTTCACTCTACCTTTCAAATAAATAAAAGAATTCTTAAAAGCGTGGCCTGGGCCCGGCGCGGTGGCGCAAGTGGTTAAAGGTCCTCACCTTGCACGCCCGGGATCCCATATGGGCGCCGGTTCTAATTCCCTTCCAGCTCCCTGCCTGTGGCCCGGGAAAGCAGTTGAGGACAGCCCAAAGCTTTGGGAACCTGCACCCGCGTGGGAGACCCAGAAGAGGCTCCTGGCTTCGGATGGCATAGTATCGACCCGTTGCGCTCTCTTGGGGAGTGAATCATCAGACGGAAGATCTTCCTCTCTGTCTCTCCTCTCTGTATATCTGCCTTTCCAATGAAAAAATAATAAAAATAAATCTTTAAAAAAAAAAAAAGCGTGGCCTGAATCTGCCATGTGCTAGGCCTCAAAGCTTCCGTCAGCTCCCAAGGCTGTATTTAGTGAGTTAGTTTTGCAAAGCCCTTCTGTAACCTGACTCCAGCGTGCCTCTGTCAGCTGGCCCGCTTTGGTTTTGTTTGCTTGCTTCTTTGTTCAGTGGGTTTCCTTTTGTTTCCCTCTCCGTGAACTTTCCTCCCAGATGAGGTTGTTCACAGCTCTCTGAACGTGTTAATTGCCTGCCATGCCTCAGGTGACACCGACCCGGCACACAGCAGCGCTCACAGATGTTCGCTTCGGATAATGAACCATTATAATCCTCTTCTACTTCATGAGGCTCTTCTGTCGCTCAAGTCTCTTTCCACTCTCCCAATGTCAGGCAACCCGATGGAGTTCAGGGAGCAGCTGTTTTGGGGATCCCATTCCCGAGTCCTCAGTCCTCAGCCTGGGCTCTGGGTGCCCCTGCTGGGCTCCTGCCCCACCCATGCTCGCCGGACGCGTAAACCATTGCAGCTGCTTCTCTTCCTAGAGTAATTCGTTTCCCCACGAGCAAGATTGGGTTTTCTCAGGAAGCTTTTTTGTTTTATTTTGATTGATTCATGCATTCATTTATTTGATATGCAGATTTAGATAGGGAAATAGAAAGGTGGAGAGAAATGTTCCATTCACACTTCACTTCTCAGATGGCCACAACCACCATGACTGGGTCAGACTGAAGCCAAAAACCTTGGAGTTGCATCTGGTTTGCAGGCGGATTCAGGGCCCTGATTATTTATTAGTAGGGAGCTGATTTAGAAGTGGAACAGCCTGGCCCAGCGCCATGGCCTAGCGGCTCAAGTCCTCATCCTGAAGATGCCAGGATCCCATATGGACACTAGTTCTAATCCCGGTAGCCCCATTTCCCATTCAGCTCCCTGCTTGAGGCCTGAGAAAGCAGTCGAGGACGGCCCAAAGCCTTGGGACCCTGCACCCACATAGCAGACCTGGAGGAAGTTCCTGGCTTTGGATCGGAACAGCACCAACCATTGTGGTCACTTGGAGAGTGACTCATCGGACGGAAGATCTTTCTCTCTGTCCTCCTCTCTATATATATTTGACTTTACAATAATAGTAATAAAAAAAAAATCTTTAAAAAAAAAAAAGTGGAACTACCAGGACTTGAACAAGTGCTCATACATGGGGTGCTGATGGCACAGAAGTGGTTTAATCTACACTACAATGCTAGTTCCTTCTATAGTAGGTAATGCGTCATGGTGAGTTATAATCATGCCTGTGGACCACTAGAGAACATTTCTTGCGAATTATATATGTATGTATGTATGTATATATTTAAAGAAGCAGAGCCAGAGAGAGGTGGAGAGAATTTCCATCTGCCAGTTCAGACCCCC